AGCCTGGGCTACCAAGTGAGTTCCAGGAAAGGCGCAAAGCTACACAGAGAAACCCTGTCTCGAAAAACCAAAAAAAAAAACCAAACAAACAAAAGCAAAACAAATAAACAAAAGAGGCCTTGGTGTGGGAGGGGCCCCCAAGGCCCCGCCCCTCCGAGGATCTCTAGGCAGTGAAGGTTGCCAAGGGAAGGAGAAGTGCATTTTTTCAGCAGTGAAGCTACCGTGCTGTATGCTGTGTGTTTTTTCTCTCTGAATCATTATGTGGTACCATCTTGGAGAACAATGCCTTCGCCCAGAAGCCGCAGTCTGTGCTAACGGAACTACCTGCACCCCTGGTAGACAGAAGAGGGGCATTCACAAGACTGGTTTCCTACGATTCCGCCATTACCCCTCCCTGCGCAACCCCAACTGCAGGTGATCTTGAGAGGTGCTAAAGAATACGGACAGTGGAAGCTTAGGTGAGATGCTCTACGATGTGGTTCCTGGGAGGCTGTCGTCTGCGTGTGATATGGTGAGACTCGGCGGTGCAGCTGTTGTGTGGGGAGGGGGGTGGGGTGCCCTTACATAAGTGATGACCCTTTCCATACACTCATTCATCAAAGAATGTCCCCATTCCAGAGGAGGACAAAGCACCACAGGTGGCCACCATCATGGTGTTCTCATGACCAACAGGAGTGGAAAGCTGTATGGGAATGGGCTTTGGGGAGCAGATTCTCCCACTGGCAAAATCCAGACTGGATGTTGGTGCAGATGTGTGTGGTATCTGGAGCTGTCACAGCTATGTGTGACCATGAAGGGAGTATGGTGTCCCAGTAACTGACAGTGCACGTGGGAGGCTGGAAAACTCCCTCATAATCCTGAAGCTCGTGTGCCTTAGCCATTTGTGTGTGTGTGTATGTGTGTGTGTGTGTGTGTGTGTGTGTGTGTGTGTGTGTGTGTGTGTAGGCCAGAGAGCCATGTTGGATATGTTCAACATGCTTCAGTTTTATTGAGAGTCTCTCTAGGCTTAGAGGTTGCAGAATTGGCTAGGATGTGGACCAGTGTGGGAGCCCACAACTGACTCAGTTTCCCAGTTTGAATCAGAAGTCTATTCTGACTCAATAGAATTCAAGCTTGCTTGCTCCAGGGCTGTGAGAAAGTCCTGATTAGCCCAGAGTCTCCTTGAAGGGCTGTGAGAAAGTCCTGATTAGCCCAGAGTCTCCTTGAAGGGCCGTGAGAAAGTCCTGATTAGCCCACAGGAAGAACACACTATCTAGCTAGATGCAGGCTGCTGATGCCAGCTGGAGGTACATTGAGACAGAAAATGAAACTGCCTGCTCCTTGACTCAAGGACGGGATAGATAGTGGCTGAATGCCTGTGCTGGGCATTGTTCTACCTCTGTCCTTCAAGACTCTATATAAGTCGGGCGGTGGTGGCTCATGCCTTTAATCCCAGCACTCAGGAGGCAGAGGTAGGCGGATCTTTGTGAGTTTGAGGCCAACCTGGTCTACAGAGCAAGATCTAGGAAAAGTGCAAAGCTACACAGAGAGACCCTGTCTGGAAAAACAAAACAAAACAAAACAAAAAACCAAAACAACAACAACAAAAAGATTCTATATAAGCCGACTCTGAAATATACTCAGGACTGTCCGGTATTGACTGGCAGACCTTTCGACTCTTTTCTGTCTTCTTCATTGTCTCTACAACCTGCACATTCTCACCCAGATACTCAGCTGACTCTCGGCAGGTTCCAACAGACCAGCAACCCAAAGGGACCCACCTGTCTCTGCCTCCCCATTGCTGGAGTACAGATTTTTGTTTTGTTTTGTTTTGTTTTTCAAGACAGGGTTTCTCTGTGTAGCTTTGCGCCTTTCCTGGGACTCACTTGGTAGTCCAGGCTGGCCTCGAACTCACAGAGAT